AGGTCTAGCACCATGGCAGCACTATGTCCAAGACGTCCGTGAAGCGGGGACGCCCCAGCCTGCTTAGCAATGGGCGATCTGCTGCCGCAAAGCGCAAGAACAGGAGCAAGGCTATTTCGGCTAAGTGAGTATCGATTTCTTTATGATTTTATGATTATGAGCATTGATCTTACAGTTTGGATATGTTTTTGTACATAGATTATGTGATGCATTCATGTAGATGAGCATTGATTTCTGAGTAGACGTGATGTACATAGATGATGTGGTGCATACGATCTTCTATGTGTCATTGAGAGCTTCTTAAGTCTTAGCTGAACCATGAAGTTTCAGAAAGAGGATCATGTCGTGGTTATTGCTGCAGCAAAATGGTGACGAGTACTATGTGTGTACAACGATTGTTACCACGACATCCACCTCTTTCTGATAATTCATTATATTGCACAGAGATACGGCTACGAGCACTCCGTGTGTAAAGTGATTATCTGAACCGTGAATTCTTTTGCTGCAGCAAGAGTGAGGAGTTGTTCGTTTAGCTTTAGAAATACTAAAAACTAGCAGCGTTATTTATCACAGGAACATTTCTGTAGGGATTCTTGTGTGTAAATCCAAATGCTTTAGAGTGCAACTGTTTGAATGAAGTGTTGTTCTTGTGTGTAAATCTAAATGAAGTGTTGTTCTTTATAAATTATCATTATTATTATAAGTTGTTTGTGACTATGTAATGCTCAAATTGATGTGTTGCAAATATGGGTAATTTTACCCATGGGTACCCATTTACACTGACGGGTGACGGGTATGGGGAAAAATTGTACCCGTTAACGGGTATGGGTACGGGTGCTGGGTAAGGTTTGGGGCTATGGGTAAGGGTATGGGGTGGCTCCACCCGTACCCAAACCCGGCGGGTGCCATCCCTACTCCCGCGTCAAGGCCAGCAGCCGATGTAACCACGTGGTCCAGCTACATGAACAGCCACCGCCCCACCCATCTGTGGCTGTCGCCGGCACCACACCCAGCCGCAACAAACGCCACCGCCGTCGCATCCATCTATGGCTGTCGCCGGCACGACCCTTTCCGCGGCAACCGCCAACACCGCACCCATCTCCAGTTGCCGCCGTCGCCGCACCATCTGCATCTGCCACCGCCGCGATATCTAGAACGGGGGAAATGATAGGAAACAAATAGGACGCCCGATGCACTGACCTGGAAACTGCAGCCGCCGACGTTGACGAGAGAGGAGATCAAAGGGAAAGAGGGGGAAAGATAGGGTTGAGAGGTGAGCGAGGCCGTTTTGCGGAGGTGGGCAGAGCCGAAAACGTTTCAGCGTGAGCCTGGATGCCCATGTCCACGATATTCTCGCGTGCTTGCGGAGCCGGATTTTTGATGAATATTCAGAGCATCTGGTTATCCATGGCCTGCCTCATCCCAGCTTGTCCATGAACCAAACATCTGGTATCCAGCCTAAAAATGGCTATCCCTGTCCATCGAGGATGACCTAACTGCGGCCTTTGCCCGCTTTGCAAGCAAGTGCAGGAGTCAGCTGTCCAACTTCTTTTCCAGTGTATATTTTCTGCCCAGTTTGGAACGAGATCACCGTTTGGCTAGGCATTCACGACCACTCGCCAATGTCGTGGGGGCATGAAGATTGAGTTCGAGCAGGGTGGCAGAAGGCGGTGAGTGCTGCAGGTCAAAACAGGAAGGTCATCGCTTCAGTTATGATGCTTGTCTCACGGGAAATTTAGAAGGAACACAACGCGAGAATTTTTTGCAACACGGATGTTTCAACCTCCATCGTAGTCAGCAAAATCAAAGAGGAAGCCCATCTTTGGGCTTTGGCGGGAGCCAAGCATTTGAGTCTTCTTATGTCGCAGGAGTAGGTTTCATTTTGCCGCTTATGTCTAAACCTTCTCCTTAATTAATGAAATGGCAAGTCTTTTGCATTGTTTTAAAAAATGTTTCTTGCCCTTTTCTTCATGTTTTAGCAGTGACATGTATTGACATAACAATCTCACAAATGTAAGCTACCCATCACAAAGAAACAAATCACCCTCGAGGGGGCTTTTCCTGATCCTGATGTTGTGCTCGCGACGCTCTGATGTTGTGCCTCGTCCATCGGAGTTAGGGGTGGATCAACGAGTTGCTCGGCTCGTTAAGGCTCGATTCATTAAGCTCGCTAAGATTAACGAGCAGAAAACCCTGTTCAGCTCTGCTCGTTAAGCTAGTGAGCGCTCGCTAACAGATTCTTATGTGTTACAGTCTACAGAATGAGTGTGTGGATGTGATCTTTTAAGAAGGAAAATGGTGACTATAAAAGGAAATGCACTAGTTTCTTTTGCCTCTTATGTGGATTAGATTGAATAGATGGACTGAGGTGCTATGAAAATTTTGTCACGTAACATGAAAATATGTGTTGTGTTATTATTAACGAGCTTAACGAGTTACTCGTGAAACTGTTAGCTCGTTCGTTAAGCTCGTTAAGCTTAACAAGCTGAAATTGATGATCGGTTCTGTTCATTAAGAAGCAAACTACGATCTTAACGAGCCGAAGTATCGAGCGCTCATTAAGCTCACGAGCTACGAGCTTTTGGTCCAGCCCTAACTGGAGCAACACCTTGGTCCAGCCCTAACCGGAGCAACCACCATGTCGGGGGCGGACGCGGCCTCCGTGCACCGCTTCGGATGTCGAGGCCGTCTTGTCTCTGCTGCCTAGGCCCCTAGGGCTGGAGACAGAGGCGTGGGTGATAGATCCTGTTTTACTAGCCGCTATAGTTTTTGCTGTTTAAATTGTAGGAGCAAGTAAGTAGTGATTTTATTCCTTTATTGTTGAATGAAAGAGTCTATCCAATATATGGCAGGTGCAGAGTTGTCGGAATACCACAGTGCAGCCAAGGTTTCAGGGCCACCGTCCCTTTAGCTAACTGGGAGGGTGCATAGGAACAACTTTGGATCAAGGTGGATGTGCATTCTCAGCCCTTTGAATTCTGCAGCTTCATCCCTTGCCAGTGGTGATCGATACAATGCATGCGATCAAATAACCCGAGGAAATTTATTCAGCGCGAATTCTCCAAAACATCGGGCTAGCCCCTTCAGACCTCGGTCGGTGGATCGGGAAGCAGACATTGGATATTGCACGGAAGAGTGGACACAACCAGCCAGCAAGCAAGAACACAGCTACTTTTTTGAAAATGTTGCTGGTTGTTTGCTGAATTTTACACGTATGTGTGTCGACCCAATGCAATCACAACTTGTCTACTAGTTCAAACTAGTCTACGCTGCAAGGGAGGCCACAGCATATTCATAAGGACAAACGCAAGCTAAAGTTTGTTCAAGCTCCTTTAATTCATAAGGACAAACTGGAAGTACATTGCAGAAAGGCAAGCTGCGGTTGGTCAAGTTCTTAATTACCAGCAGAAACATATAGCAAGCAATGATAAATCTGGATCGCTGAGGCAGCGCGATATACCAAATCCAATCATCTAACACATGCCCTGATGATTTAATGCAGCACGCTGAAGAGACGCTTTCAGTAAAAGCAACATTTCATTTGTAGTATCAGTAGGGCAAACCCAATCATCTACCAAATTTAATGAAGGCCTAGTGGTGAATGCAATAAGGTGAAGGCAGATAGTTTCCATAAAGCAAAATGATATGATATGTTGGTACAGGTCAGGGGTTAACGACAAGAACTGGAGCCATCTAAGAGTTCACCGTTCACAAAATTTCAAGGGTTCAAGGGGGGCAACAGAATGCAGTTTATTACCAGGAATCTTAGCGTTAGATTATCGGCCTCACACGCACTGCACCTAACATTACCTAATTCCAAGCCATGCAGCTGCCAAGGAGGTTCCAGAGTCACCCTCACAGGACAAGTTTCAGTTAGAAATGATACAAACATAACTGCGTGTGGTGTCACTATGCAGACACATGACTGATCACTCCAGGATGATCTACATTACGCCCCAATTTCTGCACAACTGCACAAACAGCTTACTACGTTTCACCATAGGTAAGAACCAGCAGACAGAATCCAACAGGTCCCATGCTTCAGGATGGATACTAAGCATGCTTCAGTTTGAAAATGACCATATGCAAGAACAGATAGAAAGCACATATACAATTTCTTGTCCCAGACCATACACATAGAGAACATTAGACAGGTGCAACAGTGTGGACAGTATATTACTATGGGTCAGGGGTAAATTCAAGGGGATCAGAAATCAGTCTATTACTTAGGAACCAATGTGTTAGAATGTCGGTGCCATAACGTTATTAATATGGGTCAGGGGTACAGAGAAGAAATGGAGCCATCCAAGAGCTCACATTTCATAAATTTTCATTTCAGGAGTAGGTTCCGTGATTAAGTAGTGGAGTGGAGGAATTCAAGGGGATCAGAAATCAGTTTATTACTAGAAACCATAGCGTTAGATAGTCGGTGCACTGCACCTAACTTTGCCTAATTGGAAGCCATGCATACAGCCAAGGAGGTTCCGGAGTCGCCCTCAGGGATCAGGTTTTAGTGGGAAATGATACAAACATGACTATATGAGGTGTCGCTATGCAGACAAATGACCGATCACTCCAGGATTATCTACGCCGGGCCCCGATCCCGTCGACATAGACACATCACTCGACTGATACGATACCCCTGTGAGGGGTGAAAATTCTGCATATTCGGCGACGGCAACTGCACAAACAGCTTACCACAATTCACCACAGGTTGTTTACATGTTGCAATTTTTACTAGGCAGCAGAAACCAACAAGTTTCATGCTTACGGATGGATACATAATCATGTTTGGGCATGAGATTGACCATATATATGTAAGAACAGATAGGAATCACATTCTTCACAATTTCTCCTCCCCAATCACACACATATAGAACGGTAGACAGGCGCAACACGATATCATAGGTGCGAATGTAGTAATAAGAGTACTCCACAATTCCATGTAGTTATGCAGCCCGAATCATCTGCCTGCCGGCGACGGCAAGGCCCGGCCCTAGTTAGTTCTTACCGGCGGCGGCGACGACGTCCTCGGCGCCGTGGATGATGACGTAGCCGGCCTTCTTGGGGCTGTCGGAGGCGTCGTCGTCGTCCGACACGTCGTCGTCGCTGTAGAGCTCCTCGTAGGGGCTGGCGGCGCCGGCGGAGGCGACGAGGGACCAGAGGAGGTACATGGAGGCGGCGGTGAGGGCGCCGCAGCCGAAGCCGAAGAGCAGGCCCGAGACGACGACGAGGATGTCCTTGGCGCGCTCCTGGAAGGAGGAGGCGGCGTCGGGGGTGGCGACGGCGGCGGGGAGGGGCTCGGCGGGGCGGCGGATCTGGAGGTGGTTCTGGTCGTGGGCGTGGAAGCGGTGCGGGCCGAGGCGGCGGACGCGGAGGACGGTGACGACGGTGGTGGTGAGCGGCGAGGGGTCGGCCGGGTCCGGGTTGGGGCGGGAGAAGGAGGAGAAGGAGATGAGCAGCGTCTGCGCGCGGCCGCAGGGGCGCGCGGCGGCCGCAGGGGGCGCCGCGAGGAGGGCCGCGGCGGCGGCGGCGAGGAGGAGCAGCAGGACGCGGCGGGCGGCGGCCATGGCTGGCGTCAACGGCGGATCGGATTTGGGGAGGGCGGCGTCGCCGGTGGGGAAAATTTTGGGGAATGGGGATGGAATTGGGGAGGTTCGTTTGACTCGGCGCCGTGGGAGGAGACTTCCGATGCTTTATCGTCTTCCTTGGCCGACGGGGAGGGGAGGGGAGTTTTGCGGTTTGGTCCTCGGAGATGTTTCCGTATTGCGTCCGGGTCCTAAATCTGGGCATGGGCAGCCCGGCCCGGTGACCCGGTCCGGAAGAGGGTCAGGGTGGGTCGGCCATATCTCCCGGGTGGACTCGGGCTAGGACTTTCTATAAGCACAGCCCAAAGCCGGCCCAGCCCAAAGCATGCTTGTAATTAATCTAGCTATAGATCATTATGTTTGGTTGTGAGCCCTCCATGACCCAAACCTTGTATTTATGAACATTGCTTTGAATAAATAAAGTGGGCGAGATTTATGAAAAAAATGTTAACTTTACATGTTGATCACCGACTTGACCCTTTCGTTGACTTAGAGCCGGTGATTGTTGACCTTTTCAAAAAGTTCATAGATTGTTGACCAGAACAGTTTGAACATCGACTATGATTATTGACCACTAACCACCATTGACCCGTTGACTTTAAAATTTTTATAGAATTCAAAAAAATCACAAAAAATGAGAAAAAACAATATTTACAAGTTTATAAAAATGTTCACGAATTCTAAATAAGCTCATGGATCTGAATTATTTTCCCAATTCTGAAAAATGTTCACGGATTTGGAAAATTATATGCGGATTTCAAAAATGTTCATAAGTTGAACCAAGTTCACAGATTGCCAAAAAGATGTTCACACATTTGCAAAAGTTTCACGCATTTGAAAAACTGTTCATAACTTAAGTAAAAGTTTACGAATTTGAAATTATCCATGAGTTCAAAAAAAAAATCTTAATGGAACTGGAAGTATTTCTAGAATTTGAAAAAAGTTTGCAGATTCTAAAAGGTCCATGAATTTGAAAAATATTCACGAACTAGAAAAAATGTTTGAAATTTGCAAAGTTCGAGAAGGTGCGGGACGCGCCTAGGCGGAACGCTTTTCTCGCCCACGCGTGATTAGAGCATCTCCAGCCGTTCGGCCCCCCAGGGCGCCGAAAAATAGCGGCCTGAGGGCGAGCCGGCGCTAGTTCAGCCCCTAGGGTTCGGTTCGCTCCCAATCACACGCCCATGGTCGCCGCGGGCTTATTTTTTTTCAAACTCGGCGACTTTTGCATGAACTCGGTCATTTTTCGTCCAAATTTGTACAAAAACTTAAAAACACGCATGAACTAACGTAAAAACGAACTAAAAAGCCTAGCCACCGCCGCCGCCGCCGCCGACTACATGCTGAGAAGCCTGTAGAAGCAGGTGTAGTCGCCACCGTCGTCGTCGTTGTCGTCGTCGCACGCCTCGCCCGCGGCGTCCCTGCTGCACCCCTCGCCCGGGTCGCCGACAGCGCTCGACGGCCCGGCCTCGACCTCGTCGTCTCTGTCAATGACAATAATGCTGCCCTCCTCGGCGCGGCGACGGGCCCGAGTCTGGGTCTCCAGGTACGCCCGACGCTGGCAGCGCACCTGCTCGCGGACGTAGTCCTCCCTCACCCATTTGAGGGCGGACTCGTCGTCGGGGGCCACCATTTCGGCATGCTCCGGCTTCACGGGGAGCAACCCTGGCTCGGGCTTCAGCCGGACCAGGCGGAGGGAGCGCCTCGTCGGCGCCGTCGCAGGGGAGGGCTCGTTGATGACGAGGGCGCCGCTCCGCGCGCGGCGCCCGAGCGGTGTCTCCTCCGGGTCGGGCTTGACGGGGCGGAGGGCCGGCGAGCCGGAGCCCGACGATGAGGACGACCCCGACTCCATTCGCCGCGGTATCCAGGAACTACCGCGGCGGTGAGAGAAGGAGGGGCGCGACGGGTACTCTAGCCGCGGCACATTGCCAGTCTTGATGTGGTCGAGGACGGCGTTGAGTGTGCAGCCGGGGATGCCCACCACTCGCGTCGCCCTTCGGGTTGAGGCGGCCGCGCGGGATGATGCCGTTGACGGAGGTGATCTGCTCTTCACGGCGGCGCTGGAAGTACAACGTCCACAGTGTTTCGCTGTCGGACACATACCTCGGCTCATTCCGCTGCTCCTCCGTCTGCGAGGAGCGGACGCGGGCGATCTCCGCCCGCCGTGCGGCTCCTTCGGGGACTGGCGGCACCGGGACGCCGCCGGCACTCAACCTCCACGCCCCCGGTACACGCATGACGGGGGGCGCCGGGTACTCGGCTTCGTAGAGAAGGCATGCTTCTGGCTCCTGGAGGTGTCGGCGGCCGAAGCCGTTCGCCTGGGTATCTCTCGGCCATTTCGCTCGTCGGCGGGGAAGGCAGTGGGGGGGAGAGAGCTCGTCGGCGGAAAGAAAGCTTTCGCGGGAGGGAGAGGAGAGGTTGTGGCGCTCACCGGCGGGGAGGGCGCCTTTTTATAGACGAAGCGGGTGCGGGCGGGGCGGCATGCGGGCGGACGTGTGGCGCATGCAAGCGGATGCGCGTCGGCGGCGCCTCCACTGCGCCACCCGTGAGGCATCAATGGAGGCTGACCGACGCAGCAGCGCGGCAGCCTTTGCATTGATTCCCGCGGGAAACGAGGCGATGAGGTCGACGAAGCGGCCGTCTCGCTGACTCGGCGGGTCCGCGGCTGTTTCGCGCCAAAACGCTCGCCCCGCGCCCCCGAGCGCCCCCCGGCGCATCGGGTTCGGCCTGAGTCCGCCGGCGCTGATTTCGGCCCAAGCTGGCGATAAACGGGCTCCGGGGTGCGACTGGACCGTTTTTTCGGCGCCGGCAAAAAAAAAAATCGCCTGAGGAGGCCGTTCTGGGGGCGCGGCTGGAGATGCTCTTAGGTGCGCGGAACGGCGCATAACAGTGTCCACGCACGCGGAACGGCCATGGGTATCCATTGTGAATCTATACTTCTATATCTATATCTATATCTATATCTATATCTATACTACTATTAAAAGAGCAAACATAAACCCCCTAAAGCCACACAACAAACTGTACACGGGGTAACTAGAACCCTTGGATTAGATTGACTTAAACACATCCTACCGCCCATATTACGTTAATGGTCTGCTAACCCGATCAACGGCTGAGATCAAATGTTCTGCCGACAGACGCCGTGATGGTCTGCCAGCGTTCGCGTTGTGTGATCCCTATGGGCCGCCCGCAACGCCCTGATTTGTGGATCGATCCCGCCGGAATCGGTGCCTCTCCGCCATTCCGAAACAAATTATGTGCCTCCCCGACCCTACTTCCGCTGGGCGCAACAACCATGGCGGCGGATCCGTGGCGTTCGCGGCCGCTTCACCTCAGGTTCCGCGGTGATTCCACCCGATCAGTGCCTTCCCTACCCTTCTTTCACTAGGATGAGCGCAGCAACCATGGCGGTCGCTCCACCTCAGGTCTCCCGCGCTCCCTCCATGTATCCCCTGCGCATCCGGTGGCCAGGCGCTTCTTCCACTCCGACCTAGGTAAGCCCCTTTGCTCTGCTCTCTGTCATGCGCGAGCCAGTGTGCGACGGTTATCGTGCCGCGGTTAATCATATTCTGGCCATGTCAAGTTCTAGGGTTCTTGTCTCTGCATACAATTCCATTTTGCAGGGGTGGTTCCTTGTTGTTCTAGGCTGATTCAGATTTTTTTTTTCCGATTCACCACTTGGACATGATCCAGAAATGCACGGTTGTTCGAGGTCATGTTGTTTGGATGGACTGCACAGAAATGCTATTGATTTAGTATTGTATTCATGCGAGTGAAAATCATAAGCAGACTCCACTCCTCTGTGGACGTTCAGGTTGCAGGTTGAAGCTTTATCAGGGCCTTGATTATTGTTTATTAATTATTATAGAATTGTCCAACACAGCGCCTCGTGCTAGCCGGCCTGGTTGATGATGCCTATCTCCCTTATATTCAGAAACGGAATAGCTTATCCCTTATATTCAGAAATGGAATAACTTAGGCGTGTGAGTGTCGTCCGCGACGAAACAGGTTCATGGCATTTTGTCTTCAAATTAGATGTTGTACGTCCCTGCAATATGTGTGTCAAATGCCCCAAGTTGGATTTGTGATCTCACTTTCCCACTTTCCCACTGCACATTGAAGCTCTCTGAATTAACAAAACTTGTTAATACCCCCCTCTAACTGTTATATCTTAAGCTGCTTCTGCATAACCATTTGTGTGTCTACAGTTGTTATATCCTACGCTACTCTGACAATTTTTACCCCAAATGATGTGCTTTATGTGTATACCTGTACCTTATTTTGTACCGTCGACATTTCTAAATTATTTTGCAGTGGCTCACGAAGCAGCAGCTTCACACCGCCACACCTCCCTAGGCTTGATTTCTTCCATTGCATGAAGTGCAATTGCTGCCTTGGAATGAGACTATCAGAACACAAATGTCAGGAGAAGGGGCTAGAGGCAAACTGTCCAATTTGCGGTGACTTCCTATTCACATCAAGTTGCTCTTCCTTGTGGTCACTTCATGCATTCAGTTTGCTTTCAGGTGTTAGCAAGTAAAATAATAATTTTCTTTTTTCTGATAATATATATCTGGCTACTGGCTGTCAAAGATGGTTCTGACAATTGTCAACCCCAGGCATACACTTGCAGTCACTACACTTGTCCTATCTCCATCTTGAGTCCCATGACTTGTTTTCATATCATAGTGAGAACTATTACTCATTCTATTTTGCTCTTCATATACAGGGCATTCCACTAGCTCATAAGTGATTTTTCATAAAGTATGAAACAGACACATTTCTCATTACTTTGATACTGAAAGCCTATACCTCAATTCTAGAGTACTCAAAAACAAATAATTTATCTGTGCAGTTATATTGTATGATTATTCTCCACGGACAATACAGCTCTGATTCCTGACACTCGAGGGTGACTTTACTTGTGGTCTTGTTATTTAAACTCTCCTAAGATGCAAAGTGAAGACTGCTTTAGTATTTGG